CGAGGATGAAAGAATCGATGCACCCACAGGTCTGCAGCATACAGCTGCAAGATATTCACTTCAGCAGCTACCATGTCAGAGTTCTGCTGTCAACAGCATCTCGGCGAGAATTCAGACCACATCGCTGACGTCCACATACAGCGACATGTTCAACTCATGCACAATCGGCAGTGTAAACATTACTTTCAATCAGTAACTTCCCTCTTGCTATTCAAAAGCAGAGTCAAAAGCATTCTTTTTTGCGATATATTTATCTTTTCCAGCGACATTGTTTGACATTAGAGCCAGCAATTCTAACTTGAAGGTATTTTCATTCACTGCACACTGGCATTTCCTTGACGCCGCGCACAATAGATCGCAATTTATGATTGGTTCTCCCATGATTTTGAAGAGAATAAAGAACTTGATCAGGTTATAACCAAAAACGCGCCTTCTTTTCTTCGCTCCTTTTCTCGTAGTTTTTTCATAAAAGCGGTAGACCACTCTTTCTATGGGCTTACCGGGGTAATAAGCCACTTGCGATGTTGGGAGAACACTCGAAAAGCCTGTAAATCACTCGTCTAACGGCTCGTGATTTACAAGCTTTTGTCGTGTTCTCTTAACATCCCGCGTGGTTTATTACGCAGGTAAACCCATAGAAAGAGTGGGTTATTGCTTAATTATAAAATAACTGAGATACTACACACGCTCTGATTGGTCAATAGAGTTGCTCAACCTATGTTCTATTCAGTGTGCCGCTAAACCACGGTTCCCGATCTATGGCAGCTCTACGCGGGAACTAGAGAACTCGGAACTCTAGCGATAACAAAAGCAATTAACATTTTTGCCTTTCACTTGCTGAGATATCAATAACACGAATATCTTTTCATTCAACATAGAAATTTGCAAGGAAAAAAAGGACCAGAAGTTGGTCGTCATATAAAGTTTTATCAGTTTTTTTCCACCGCAAAAATTCTATGCCGACTCCGGTTGCGCTTGAGATTAAAATTAAGGAAGATTAGTTTTAAAACCTTTTTTCGGTGCTTTCCACGATCCGTGGAGGACGGAGTAAGCTGTGCTTGACTGATCAATTTGGGTTGTCAAAAAAAGCAGGGAAAATAGTTCTTTCTATTAGAAATTTTGAGTTTAAATTCAATGCAATGCATGCACGACAAGATAAATGAATTTAGTTTCCATAAGCTTAGCTTTCAGGCAATAGTTTTCATTTTAGCAAAATACCGAGAAACACGGGCTTCATAGCCTTAAACATAAGTAAATAAATTCTGAATAAATTTCGGAAGCAGCGTGTCTGTAACTAACCTTTATTCCATTCGCAAAACTTTGGAAAGTTATCGTAAACACTGCGTTGAATCACGTCGCCAAGCACATGAACTTTGGACTACTTGCACACTTTTGTACAGCCTTTTACTTTCGTGATGACCGATTCCACCTACGAATCCCTGCATTTCCCCGTCAGAATACTTGTGAGTTAATTACTATTCTTTTTGCCTATCACCGATAACCTTTTCCTTTCCTTTCTTAAAAGTTTCTTAGCGTGAAATGTTTGCGTCGCTTTGCTCTGCGGATTTCGTGTCCGGCGCGGAGTCTGTCCTTTCATTCTGTCAGTCGCTGTGATTGGTTTGTCGCGTCATCTCATGAATTTAATGAGAATAAGCAACTTGACCACGAAAGTACAATAAATTTTCCTCCCATTGCCAGGCTTTTTCCATAGTTATTTCATAAAAGCGGTAGACCACTCTTTCCATGGGTTTACCGGCGCATTAAGCCACTTGGGATTTTGGGAGAACTCTCGAAAAGCCTGTAAATCACTCGCCTAACGGCTCGTGATTTACAAGCTTTTCTCGTGTTCTCTTAACATCCCGCGTGGTTTATTACGCCGGTAAACCCATAGAAAGAGTGGTCTATTGCTTAAATAGATAGTGGGTCGCGTGGCCAATCAGAGTACAGCATTCGTGATTGAACGCTAGTAGATTTATACTAATCTGTGATAGATAGTGAGTAGCGTAGCAGTGTGCCCTTGTTAACAAACTGACGGCCACTTCTTGGCGTTTTCGAAGTGTCTGTGAAGAGGATTTAGATAAAGTTTTGAACGAATATTTGATTTATACCTATATATACTTATATTTATTCTTATATTTATTCGCTCTCGATTTCTATGCACCCTCGTCAACTATCACGCGATAGAAATCTCGAGCTCATAATCTAATTGCTTAATAGAAACACGAGTGGAATCGAAATTTGGAAGAACACGAAAAAGCTGTGGAAACACTCGCTTCTCGGCTCGTGTTACCACAGCATTTTTGTTCCCCCAAACTTCCACTCGTGTTGCTATAGCTTGATAGAAACACGGAACATGTTTTCTGTTTCTTAAATAGTTATCCACGGGTGTTTGGTGTGTTGACAAAACAACAGATTTATACACGCTCTGTTTCTAAGCATCATTTAAGCTAAACACCAGGTTGAAAAACATCCACATAGTGGTTTTAATCAACACACAATCCTTGTTTAATATAAGAACAGCAAGAGATAAACAGTTGGCACCTTTATGTACCATTACCTCGCTAATTTACCTTGTACTGAAAGGTTGATTTTGTTATTTTCTATTTCGAATTTCAGGTAACTGCTTGGCAAGGTTCATTATAACCTCCTATTGTACCGCAATATTTCTTGTTGAAGTTCATTTTCGTCAACAGAAACATAATTTGCAAGCTTTGAATAACTTTTGTCATTTTCGTAATCGGGTCACTTTCGTGAAATTTTCCATAGTAATTTTTAGCATAGTACAAACCTTTAGAAAGTACTTGGGCTTTTGTTATATACCTGCCCTGCACTAATTAAAATTTGATCGTTGTTGTTAATTTCTGCTTAAAACTGAGTCAGCTTACCTAACTCAAATGTTTCATCGTTTATTGCGAATTTGCAAAGTAAGACTGCAAAATTAAATTCCATAGATTAGCCTCCAGTTGTTCGAGACCAGTGAAGAGTCATATCCACCTGACGAACGATTTTACCCCCAAAGGAGCAAAAATTGCTTACTTGCAAAAATAAATAGTTTTTTTTGTATACATTATGTTATGCCGGAAGTGCCGGACCCATTAAGCTTATAAGGCTAGGATCCTGTGTCCATACGTAAACTGATCTGGCACTTGTTAGAAAAATTCAAAAGATCCTAACATCAGTACAACACTTATTATGACATTACTCCTAACGAAGCCTATCAAGTGACATCGACCAACCTCCATTTAAATTTAAGCCTTTTGTTTCAAGTTTAATCACTTGACAGCGTAATCTCCTGTGTTACATTCTTGACTTAACTTATGCACTGTAAACAGCACAGCAAGACCTTGTTAAAAAAACTAAGGCGATTTTTCTCTTTGTTTTTGATTAAAGTCAAAATGTATTGAAGTCAAACTCTACATTGATGAGAAAAACACGTTTAAAAATTGATAAATGTTGTTAAGGCTACAAGCTGTGATGATCTGTAGATTATGTGATACTCGACACATATGAAGACGCCTCTTGTAGAGGTGTTTTTCAAACCAGCAAGCTAGCTCTTACAGCTTTTCAACGCTCTTATCTGTAAACTCTCTAAGCACATAGGCGGGTAAGTCATATGTTAACTTACATTTGATATTTCGAGCTATTCACCGAGGCATGTTGCCTGTAGAAAATATTTTTTTTTTAAATAAGGCAAAGACTGACGTTTTAAAACTATAGAAGATGGGTTTACAAATGTACGATTAACTCTTCCAAAACTGAGAATAATTTTTCTTGTGTGTGTGTGTGTCAAAAATTATCACAAAAATAAATATTTCCGTTTGGTAGGACAAACGACAGCATGAAGAGTGTGTAATGCAAATGTATTAACTCTCTCGAAAACTGAACATAAATTTGGTTTTCTCCCAAAAGTTATCACAAAAGCAAATATTTTACCGTGCATAAATTTTCTTATCTGTTAATAAACCATAAATTTCCGTTAGGTAAGATACACGACATCATGAAGAGTTTTAATATTGCTCGTGCTATATTATGAATCCATAACATTTGCTTCACCCATCCCACGAAAAAAAACGGAGGAAAGGGTTGGAATTTTGAAAACAACAGTTGTCCATGCTGGATCTGTTAATAGCTTTTTATTTCCTCCTATTCTATGTATTGTTGTAGTATCTGTACAATGAGTGCCTTGTGTTTCCTGGCTTTGGTTTTACACCTGAATCTACTCACTGCCGTAGACAGCGAAGTTACCTGTCAAAACTTCAAGTTTGTTGTCGACGAAGATGTTGTTTATAACCACATCCTTGAAGGTCACGTGTTTCGAAGATTGACAGTCTACAGCGCTGCCCAGTGTCACGTGATGTGTAAAGATGACTGTTTGTGTGCATCCATAAATTATTTCCCTGTTTCCAATGAAAATAACTGTGAACTAAACGATGTTAACAAAGAAATGGAACCTGCAGCACTAAAATGGAAACAAGGAGTTCATTATTATGATTTGGCGAGGAGCTACACAGTGAAGGTGAGCTAATTTATTCATTTGTGCATTTATTCGTTCGTTCGCTTATTAATTGATTTGCTCAAGTTCCTGTACGATTGGTCTACCAAGAGCTGCTGAAATTATTTTAAAGGAAATTAGCCTTGGGTACGAGCATTTGTTACGACAATTAAGTTGGATGTCACTTTAAGGCACGTTCAATAGTATGCATATTGTAACTTTTGTATCTAAATATGTCCACAACAATGCTCCAGATCTGTTCAAGGAATATTTTGTCAAAACATCGCACAATTATTCTACTAAGCGTAATGGTGATGACGTTCTGTTAATTTTTAAAACAATGCTTAAGGACTTTTTTAGTGAAAGCTCCTAATATTTTTAGTATCTTTAATAATTATATATAGTTTTTATCTTTTACTACATATGTTGTATTCTTTTTAGGATTGTGATTGGTCTTTCATTTCTATTTTTAGTTGCCCAGGGCACCCTTTAATAACGGTATTTGCTAACAAGTTTACCCTGGTTAAAACCAAACATTATGTTCACGCATAATGTTATTTATGTCGAGCCATGACGGTCACGCAATGGTCCGTAGGTCTGATTTGTGTCAAGTATCACCCCAGGAGAGAGAGGGGGCGTTCCCTCAAGGATAAAAGAGATTTCTCTCGAGCAATTTGCCCTTCTTCCCTTGGCCCTCGTACCGTCGGTATCTTGCAAGGAAAATTTTTTCCCCCTCCCCCCAATCCCCTGTTACCAAATATCGGATTGTTCGATTACATTTAGTAATGTGGGCGCGTCTTTTTCACCCCACCAATTAAGTCTCCTGGATCAAATTAAACACGCCACATTTGTGGCCAAATTCATCCAATCCATGTGTTTAGTTTTATTGCGCATTCTTCAGCAAACTAGTGCGACTTCAAGCAGAGCTAGCGTTCCGTAGAGTCATGCATCGATATAAATATCTTTATATTATCACTATTATTCCCAGCCTTCCTTCAAGGCTTGTTAATTTCTATTTATTTTGCAATAGGGTAGAGGCAAGTTCATGTCGGAAATACATCCCTGCGTGAACAGATGCTGTCGAGACAATCCATGCATCAACGGAGGGGTATGTCAGGAGATTTGTGACCCTCACAGCCCACGGTTTAACTGTACCTGCCCCTACACTCACACAGGCTGGCGATGTGACAAGATTAAGCATCTAAGAACCTGCAAAGACATTGCAAAAAATGGAGCTTTGACATCTGGAAAGTACTTCATTTTGGATTCTGCAAACGAAGCGTTTTCCGTTTTCTGTGACATGGAATCAGAGTCAGGATTTGTTTGGGCGTTGATACAATCGTTTTCCCTGGCCAATAAAGGCATGTTCGAAGAAAAAATGTTTGGCACTGATTTCCCAGTGAACCATACAAAGAATACAGTGGATTGGAACTCGTATCGCCTGTCCTTACCACAGATGGAATCCATTGCCAATCACTCAACACACCTACGAGTAACCTGTAACTTCCCAACAGAGGGTCTGCAATATATCGACTACGCACGCGCCAAGCTGGAAGGTCACGACATATTTAGCGGTTGGAATACTCAGTGTCGACAATATGAGTACATAAATATCCGAGGAATTGAATGTTCCTATTGTACCACTGGCACGAAACAGAAAGCTAAGAGCGCTTGGAGCATAAAGAGTTATCAGAGTAAAGCTGCTTGGGGCTGTGATTTCGATGGACGTCCAGGGGCAATTAGTAGTAACGAAAGAAATTTCGGTCATTATGGTGACGCCGGTTCTGTTAATGTCAATCACCGCTGTACCTCTTCACCAGCGTCGACAACACAACACTGGTTTGGAGCTAAGCATGAGTTGTAAAGGACTATCACATTCAAATGCACAAAGTTAAGTCCACTCGCGTGACAAAGCCCACTGAGTCGAAACATAACTTCATTTTCGAAACCATCACGTGTTTCTGGAACGAACGCCGCTCTGTCAGAGGTTTCCCCTCAACACTTTCGAGGTTTGTAACCGACAATTTCCTGCCGGTTATTTCCACGTCTGAGAATGGAAAAGACATTACATTTATAAAAATAGAAAGAACTTCTTTTATAAGATCCTGAACATTAACCGAAGTACAGGGCCCACTCCTCTCAATTCAATACGTAGGAGAGTATTTAACATAGCTTGCTGAGCGCTTAGCCAGAGTTACTGGGGCGCTGCTAACGCCAAAATTCAGTCAGAAAAATTTAGTTCAGACCTGTCACGAAAATGTTATACTTTGTATTCCTGAAACACTCAATTGATACACAGTAAACAGCGAAGAAAAAAAGAATGAGTAAATAGTAATCTTGAAACATGTCTTCGCTACAAAGTGTGCATAGAGGCATTACCTTTACACCTTAATACTCCTGGAAGCCACGAAAGCCGCAATAGAGGAAATCCTAATTTCTTATTTCAATTTTTAATTTTTTTCTGTTTTATTGAAAAAAAAAGTATTCCAATAGCACCCGTTGGATATCAGATGCTTAAAGCTAGCTGGTCGATACGTGCTTTGTTGGCTATAAGTCATTTAATATCCAACGCACGCTCGTGGAATGATTGTTAAATATTTCTAGATATCAGACACAGAACTGTGACAATCGTACGTATTGGTTATCGTCATGAATTTCTAGTGATTAAAAATACTGCCGGAATATATTAAAATACACGGTTAAAATGCTAATAGTGCGCTCCATGGGTAAAACTAACTTATTTGAAGTTTAAAGAACCTCTGTTTGTAGCATATCAATGTCTATATTAAATTTATGGCGCCCCGACCAGTAAAATCCTCAACCGCGACAAAGAATTTTTAGTTTCTTTGACAAATATGATAATTCAGGGTCTTGATAGCCGACAAAGTGTCTTATGCTCGATTATAGGTAAACAGTCATCCACGGGTGCTTGGTGCGTTGACAAAACAACAGATGTTTACCTTTACGTCGTACCGAATAGTTGATTTTGTTATTTTCTGTTTCTGGTAACTGCTAAGCAAGGTTCATTAATCTCCAATTCGATCTGTCATCATATTTCTTGTTGGAGTTAATTTCCGTCGATAGAAACATAATTTGGGAACTCTGATTAGTAGTAGTGGTGGTGGTGGTGGTTTTGTTTTTGTTTTTTGTTTTTTGTTTTGTTTTTTGTTTTTTTTTTTTCATTTTAATGCCCATGTCATTTTAGTGGAATTTTCCAGTAGTGTTTTTTTTAACATGGTACTTGCCTTTAAAAAGGACTTGGTCCTTTGTTACATGTCCTGTACGCATTGAAATTTGATCGCTGCACTTAATTTCTGTTTATAACTGAGGAAGTGTATTGCTTGCCTAACCGAAATGTTGCATGGTTTATTACGAACTTGCAAAGTATGACTGCAAAATTGAATTCTATCAATCAAAATCGATGAAAGTCCAGTTGTTTGAGTCCAGTGAAGAGTCATATCTATCTGGCGGAAGATTTTACCCCCAAAGGTGGTGAAATAATTACCTGTAAAAATAAATATTTTTTGTTGTTTACATTATGTCATGCCCTACGCACCGGATCCATTAACCTTATAAGGCTAGAATTCTGTATCTATACATTAATTGGTCCGGTACTTGTTAGTAAATAACAAGAAACATTAATAATATATCAATATTATATCAATATAACACCTATGACATGAATTCCTATGGAGCTAGTGTTATCAGCCCCCATTTAAAAATCCTTTTTGCAAATATCGTTTCAAGTTTAGTTACTTTACAACATAATCTCCTGTGTTACATTATTAACTAAACTTACGTATAATATATGTGCAAACAGCACAGCAAGACCTTTTAAACAAAGCTGCGCTTGATGTATTATTGTTTCGTCTAACCATCCATGATCCTTAGTGTGGAAGCTGGTGTCGAGCACGAGGTACGACAAAAGATCACACGCTTCCACAGGAGAAAGGGATACTGACGTATATTTCTGCAGCGGAAAAAGCAAAGGATCCATGCCGATCACTGAGATCTTCTTTATATACCTCTTCTTAATACTGCTTTCCAGTGAATCGGCGTATGCGGACAAATATAAGCTTGGAATCTGTAATCACTTTGTCCGAAGACGCATATTTTTTCGCCTCACTGGCCGCCATGTTGAAAAAGCACTCCGCCAAGAAGGCGGCGCCTCGTTTTCGAACACTTTTATGACGTCACGCGAACGGACACTATTCTCGATTTGCCTTAAAAGAAGGGGACTGGGGAAGCCCAACTGTAAGTACTTTAGTTCATTCTGATTTCTTTCTTCTGGTTGGATACCGATCAGGTCATTGCCCCATGATGCTTTGGGACAGCCTCCCTACAGTCAGACTTCGAACCCAAGTCAGTCAGTCTTCAAGATGGTGGCAGACTGGGTGGACTTGTGTTGTGTGTGGGCAGGACACTGTAAGTATCGTTTATCGAATTTTTAACGATTGTGTCACCATGGAAATCCGTGACACCGATCCCAGTCCTCCGTCGAGGCTAGTGGGCTGTTTTCCAACATGGCCGCACTTTCATGGGCGCCGCCATCTTGAATTCTTAATTCGGCTCCTGATTGACTGAAAAAAACATCCGCCATCTTGGATTTGGAAAACAATAGGATCCATTGTTCTCTAATCAATAGCCTATTGTCTTTCTCGGCTCCTGATTGGTTACCGCTCATATGAGAAAGACATTTACGGCTTGGAGACTCTGACTGATTTCTTGCGAGGAATATATGATATTTAGCAATAAAAAGAGAATGATTTAACGCGTAAAAGCTCTTAGATTCAGGTTTGTAGCCATAAAGGATTGCAGAGTTATCGGGGTTAATATTGTCTGAACGTTTGGTATTCCACCACGTCATAACGTCTTTTTAAAAGGGTTCGACTACAGGGCACTCAAGAAACATATGAACAACTGTTTCATTTTGGAAGAGGCAGTGCTCGAATTGCGGTGCTTCTTTTATGTTCATTTTATATGTTTTCGACGGTGACTTTAAAAGGAAGTTCGTAGGCGTCCTTGACATTTGACACTTGTTTACCTAGATAAATTCTTCGTTTTGTAGAAGGGGATTATTAAATTTCCAAAAGCCTGGACCTCTTCTTTCATGTTTGCCTTCTGGTTTAATAGAAATGGTGACGGGGGAATGATCAGAGTCATAGTAAGCGCAAATGTCGGTTTTCGTGACGCGACTTAATAGTCGTTTTGAGATAAGCCAAAAATCTACATTTGAGTCTACATTTGACTTTCCCTGAGTTATTTCTTCATGATCAGGTGAATCGTGTCTCATAAGGGTTTTGTTCCCGCCAAGAATCGACTAGACCATAGTTATTACAAAGCTCCTAAGCAGATCGAATTACAGCTTTTTTAGATTGAACATCTTTGCCTCCGAATTTATCTGAAGCTGCCAACGGGCAGTTGAAGCATCCGCCAATAAGGATTCTGTCGCTTTCGCGGGTAGGAATGGAATTGGGTATCTTTTCATAGAAAGTAATTTGCTGGTTTTGGTCGTTTGGAGCGTAAATATTAACGAAGCAAAATTCATCATCGTCGACGGCAGCGTTTACAATAAGAAATCTACCATTTTTATCTGCAAAAAGATTTAGTACCTCTTTGCATAAAGAAGGTCTAAAGAGTATCATAACACCTCTACTGTGTTTTGAGCCGTGTGCAAAAATGATGTCGCCGCCCCATTCTGCTCGCCAAAAATCTTCCAAGCTAGCGCTACTGTACGTCTTTTGCATAAAAATTACATCAAATTTTCTGAGATGAAGCCAGCGGAAAAGCTTTCTTCTTTTAATTGATTTGTTGAGGCCTCTTGTATTAAAGGAAACTGCGTTTAAGGCGATATACTCGTTAGTGTTATGAAATTCTTTCTAAACAAGATTACGTGTACCACACCCTGCAGAGTTGCGATAGCCTTTTTCCTTGCGGAGAATGCCTTTGTATTTATGGTATGTTGACGACAGCTTTCAATAGGTCGAGTAAGGTGAAAATAGATCGAGAAAGGACAAAGACGATACAAACGATAACACAAAACATAAAAGAAACACTAATTAAGCTGCGAGGCAGCCTATTGTATAGGAGGGAGTAAAAAAGAAGTATAAGATAGGTTATTGTGAAAAGAAGCCAAAAACACCCTCCTACAAACTCTCCGCCAAATTTGAGAAATAAGTGACGCAAAAATTAAGGGAGGCGAGGTGTAAAATAGGAATACATAGAATAATTAAATTGTCGGGGAGAAAAAAAAACACTGTGGGCAATTTAACGATTTAACGGATATTTTTTTTAAATCCTCGAATTCATAAATTCGTTTTACTTGATCACTTTGAGACTTCCTCACCAAAATTTTTCCATCCATGGTCCAGGCACCATGCCACTGATAGTCCTTTCTAAACTTTCTAACCTTGGCAAACAGGCCGCGCCTGTAGCAACCTTTGTATTCTGAGATACTTGTTTAAACGTACTGACTTTAGGTGCTTTCTGGCGCTGTACAGTTCATTTTTGGCTCTGCAAGATTTAAAGCGAACAATGATTGGTCTTGCGTCGCCGTTGGTTCGTCGTGTAGCCGTTCTGTGGCAAATGTCGATGTCATTGTTGGCGATATGAACGTTGAGAACTTTCCAAGCTTGATGATCTTTTCGGGAATATTTTCTTCGGACGTCTCGGAGATACCATGTATTTCAAGATTATGCTTTCGAGTGTATTACTCCGAGTCTTCTATTTGGTTTATTGCTGTGCTGAGGTCTTTAGTAACTCCATTTAGGTCATCAATCAGGTCAGCAATTTTTTCATCTGCGCTGCGTGTAGTTTGTTTAAGCGAACTCACTTCTTGTTTGAGCGCTTTGTTCTCCGCTTCTAAGCTCTCTAGTTTGTTGATGTGAAACTCTAGAGACTTCTGGAGTTCTTCATAATGATTGCGTAGTGCTCTATGTTCTTTAACTAGCTCGTCGGTGTTTCTTTGTATTTTGTTAAGCGCCATCCAGATGCTTAGCAGATCGGCATGTTCCGCCATTAAGAGCTCTGTGGTCTTTCCAGATTTAGATGGCGGTATTTCGGGTGAG